TGACCCATCTCACCAACTCAGTCAATTTAAACTTCCCAAATAGGTAAAAATAGCATTAAACACTAAGCATTAACAATCTTATCAGACGTGTTACTTTTACAGCCTTCCTACTGTCTACACCTTTTTATGGTGGCATGTATTATGCTTTAAATGTTATGTGTATGCTTTCCCAGTTTTTTGTTAGCACTCTAGTGCCCATCTTTGACTGTTGTAACATAGAGCTTATATAAGTCTTTTCCTCCTGTGATGAACTCTCCAAGGTGAGTTTGCAGGGGTAGAGGATGCAAACACTATGAAGTTTAGATTTGGGGCTGCCTGTGCTTTTCCAAAAGGGTTAGAGTTCTCAGTGATGTTGGTTCATTGGAGAGAGTGACAGGAGAGGAAGGATGATCTGAGTTTGTAAAATTTTCCTTTCATTGGTCTCATTTGTATGAGGTTTCATAAACATTTTTGATAAGTATAAAGAAAAATTTTATATTAGAAGGTAACATATTTAAATGCAAATCTTTTAAAGTGTAAATGAAAATTTGTGTTGACTACAACTCTGTTAATTTGTAGGAATTAATTTTTTAATTAAAAATTGTTTGAGTGAGTGTGTGTGTAGGTCAGAGGATAACTTGGGAGTCTATTTCCTCCTTCCATTGTGTGTCTGTTGGATTGAACTCAGGTTGTCTGGCTTGTGGAACAAATGTTTTTACCACTGAACTTTATTACTGGCCATGTAGGAATTTAAATTTCATTTAACATTGCATATTTAATAGTGGGACACATAGCTGAATTATTTTACTCATAGTTGGATTGCCTTTAGAGACATGTATTTTGATTTGATGTTGTGCTATTAACTCTTTTTGTCAGGTCTGTGACAGTCAAGTGCATTGTGACATTGGAGGCATTTCATTGTATCTTGTAATGAATAGTTTACGAAGATGCCTGTGAAGAAGTCCTTTGTGTCTCAGTGCACTGAACTGGTTTATGCTTCTTTCTAGCACTCGTGGCTGGTTGGTGTCTATTGAGAGTTGTCAGCAGTGTGCAGCTTATGTTTCAGTCATGCAGGTCCCAGAGCTCCATCTGCTTCTTGTCTTTGCTTCTATATGGGTTTTGGGATTAGACTTTGCTAGATCGTCATTCCTTGAGAGGGAAAACATGTTAAGTCTTTCAGAAAGCATTTTGGTGTAAACACAATATGAATGGTTAATTTTATTCTGCCTGTGCCTTTGCAGATTTCTGCTTTAGAATTTTATTCTATGATGATAAGCAGTAGAGAGCTACCCCATTGACCTCTAGGTGGTTATGCAGGTCATTAATAGAAGACTAGAGTTGAATGCAGAAAGCACTACAGAATAAAATATAGTGTTGTATAGTTTATGTATAAATATATTTACGTAGAGTGCTAATCAAAGTATTTAGTTTTTCTCCCAAGAGACAGAAGTATAGAATGGGAGGCTTTTACTTGAAAGTCCTAATGTGCTGCTTGGATACATGCTGTGTCCATATGTTATACTTTTTTTAATCATGTGCATGTGTGTTTGTGGGTATGTGTATATGAATGCAGGTGGCCATTGAGGCCAGAGGAAGGTGTCAGATCCCTTGGAGCTAGAGTTACAGGCTGCTGTGAGCTGCCTGCTGTGGGTGCTGGGAACTGAACTTGAGTCCTCTGGAAGAGCTGTACATGCTCTTAATGTACTGCTGAGCTATCTCTCCAGCCCTTTATATTTCTTTTAAAAGCCAGTTTGTTTGCTTGCTTGTTTGTTTTCAAATGGCAGAGCATCTTGGGAGATGGCTCAATGGTTAAAGTGCTTACCATGCAATTGTGAAGAATGGAATTCAGAAACCCATGCAAATGCCAGGGGGACATGTCAGCCCACCTATAATTCCAGCTTGAAAGTGGAGACAAGCAAGCGGTTAAGACTGGCCATATCAGGAAGCTCTGGGTTGAGCCTGTTTGAGTCAATATTGTAGAAGAGGGATGGAAGATGATTCCTGATATCAACCTTGTATCTCCACATGCATGCCACACATGTGCAAAAAAAAAAAAAAAAAAAAAAAAAACCTATGTGAACCATATACACATAAACACATGCACAGCAACACACACGTGCATACACACATGAAAAATGGAAAAAGGGAAAACCAAAAAACCACAGAGTTGTGCCCCTGTTTACTTGACATTGGTAATAGTTATGCTGTGACTGATAGAGCTTGAATATTGTTACCTTAAATCTAGATGTGATCTGTCAATGAGTTGTTACTGTCTAAAGAAATAAAACTGTATTGCTTATTTTTCTCTCCTTCTCTCTCAGGTCATTTGGATCCAGGATTCCTAGCAAGTGACAAAACATCTGTTGGCAATGCACCACTTAATGAAGAAATTAATATTGCCTCTTCAGATAGTGAAGTGGAGATTGTGGGTGTTCAGGAGCATGCAAGGTAGGCGAGTAATTGGGGGTATTCTGAAACTTAGAATTGTGACTCTATTTAAACCAAACAAGTGATACAAAAATGGTAGATCGGGGCTGGAGAGATGGCTCAGCCCTTAAGAGCACTGCCTGATCTTTCAGAGGTCCTGAGTTCAATTCCTAACAACCACACGATGACTCACAACCATCTCTAGTGGGTTCTGATGTCCTCTTTTGGCTTAAAGTAGATAGAGCAGTCATACATAAAATAAATAAAATCTTAAAAAAGAAAAGAAAATGGTAAAACTCATCTTGGCTGGCATGACGGTGTACTCTGTCTTGCAGCTTTCTTTTTTACTTTTGAGACAGTAGGTTGATGTAGCTGGCCTTGAACTTACAGAGGTTCATCTGCCTCTGGCTACCAGAGTGCTGGAATTAGAGTTATGTGCCACTGTGCCAGCTTTCTATTTTGAATGATTGCTTATAAGTATAGTTCATTGGTAAGAGTGCTTGACTACATCATCAGTCCCAGGTACTGCTTTTTTATTTGTTTTGTTCTATTTTTATTTTTTAAATAATTGTTTGTGGTTCTCTAAGAATTTACATTTTAAGATCTGTATATTCCATCTATGAAAACTTGCTTTTCTTACCAACAAAGATTATGTGTATGTGTTTTAATAAAAAAGCATGTAACACAGTTACCTTCTTCACCCTGCTCTCTGTTCTCATTTTATTCTTATGTTAGTACATGAATAAAGCATGTACCAGTATTTTATGTATAGCTTATATAAAGAATGAACTCTTTTTTTTTGTTTTGTTTTTTGTTTTTTTTTGTTTTTTGAGACAGAGTTTCTCTGTAGCTTTGGAGCCTATCCTGGCACTCGCTTTGAAGACCAGGCTGGCCTCGAACTCACAGAGATCCACCTGCCTCTGCCTCCTGAGTGAACTATACTTATAAGCAATCATTTAAAATAGAAAGCTGGCACAGTGGCACATAACTCTAATTCCAGCACTCTGGTAGCCAGAGGCAGATGAACCTCTGTAAGTTCAAGGCCAGCTACATCAACCTACTGTCTCAAAAGTAAAAAAGAAAGCTGCAAGACAGAGTACACCGTCATGCCAGCCAAGATGAGTTTTACCATTTTCTTTTCTTTTTTAAGATTTTATTTATTTTATGTATGACTGCTCTATCTACTTTAAGCCACCTACGCCCGGCTTAAAAAGAATGAACTTAGGAGTATGGATTGCAGTGATGTACAGATGTGTGTGAACTGAGGTACCAGTAGGGTTTTGTCACAATTCCTATAGGGGTTTGTCAGCTAAAACTATGGACTTAAGAATGCTGAGTTAACTCAGGAGTGGCAACTCTGCCTCATGGAAGTTAGTGTTGTCTTGGGTGTTTCTAGCCAGTCTCTCTGCTAGAAGTGTGCCTGTGTAGCTTCCTTTTCTCATTTCTATTTTTATGGTTGCTTTCCCTGTTTGTGGGAGATGAGTTTTCTTTCCACTCTGATCTTTATCATTTCTCATTTCTTTTCCTGACTTAACAAAAAAACCTTTTCCTCATAAATTCTCTTACTTTTTTTTTAACCTTTTCTTTTTAATCTGACTCTCCTATCAGATGAGGAAGAAAGAACTAGTGATTTTTCTTTACTTGGTTTAAAATGTTTTTGCCATTGGTTTATTCCTTACATTGTTTCTTAAAAGACACTGTCCGTCTAAGTCCTGTGTTAGGATCTTTCTGGATTTTTTCCCTTTTTTGGTATTTAAGCTTTCTTACTGTGATACCCTGTTGGCAGATTGGTATAGTTAAATTGCCTTTTGTTTGGTCAAAGCACATCCTTGTTCTAGTTTTCAATATTCCTGTCCCGTCTCCTTTCTTTATTGTTTTCTTATGCCTAGAAATGTGAGATGCCCTTCCTTTTAGCTTCTTTGCTCACCTTTCTTTCATCATGAACTTTTTAGCTTCCTTTTACCTTTTTTTTTTAAAGATTTATTCATTTTATTATATGTGTGAGTGTTCTGACTGCAAGTATGTATGTGTACCACATTCATACTTGGTGCTTGCAGAGGTCTGAAGAAGGCAACAGATCCCCTAGAACTGGAGTTATGGGTAGTTGGAAACTACACGTAGAGGCTGGGAATTGAACCTGGATCCTCTTCAAGAACAACTTCTCTGAACTGCTGAGCTATCTTTCTACCCCTGCCACCCCCTCCCCCCCCAATATTATGGTGTCTAGGGCTAGTTTTATCACTCAAAACTTTTAGTTTAAACTCTCAGAGCCTCCTTAACCCTAACTCATGTGTATAGATACCATCGCCAGGATACCCTTCCTAACTTCAGCTTTTGATCTGGAACAGTAGTTCTCAAACTTCCTAATGCTGAGACCCTTTAATACAGTTGCACATGTTTTGGTGACTTCCAACAATATTTATTTTCATTGCTACTCCGTAACTGTAATTTTGCTACTTTTATGAATCATAATATAAATACCTGATATGCAGTTGGTCTTAGGCAACCCCTGTGAAAAGGTTGTTTGACCCCACAGATTGAGAACCACTGGTCTGGCTTGTCATCTTGTTCTGTACCTACTTTGTACTATTTCTTGAAACAAGTTGTGTAACTTAGATTCCATTTTGAATGTCATTACTTAGAAGGATCTCTTCATATAGGTCCTGCACATAAAGCTGCACTTTATTCTAGTCCATTGGCTTGAATTTTGGGTAATTATATGGTAAATGCTGTACAGTAGAATACAGAGTTTGTAGATTCTGTTGGAGATTTTAAAGGGAATCCTATTTCATTTTGAGGTTATCTTTTACATTGGCCTTTGAATCCAGGAATGGGAAGTGAGTAGTCTGCTGATGACTGCCCTGTCAGTGTTTTATAGCCAGGTGAACCTGTCTCACACATTGGATTAAAACCCCCGAGAAGCCCACAGAGGAGGCTTTTCTGGTGGTCAGACTTGCTCCTTTGACTGCCTGTATCTCATCCAGAAATTATTTACAGTTCTTGGGTTGCAGTTATGAAGTGTTGATAGAATTCTGATAATATTATCACTTGGAAAAAGGTTTAGATTTTGGCCCACGTCTTTTTTGTTCTCATTTTATTTGCTTGTGTAGTTAGTTTGGATTAAGTTTTCTTGTTCAATTTCTCTCTCTCTCTCTCTCTCTCTCTCTCTCTCTCTCTCTCTCTCTCTCTCTCCCCTC